TGTGAGAATAAGAATGTGGGTTTTTGAAGCTTAAAATTTGAAATCACAACTACACTATCTTGCTAATTACTAATTACACTTTAGAATACAACAAAAATGTATATGAACTGAGGCCAAGTATGGTACATTGTGCCGACAGCTTTACAGTCCTTCTGCATGAATTCATCCTGATTAGGAATGTACTAACTAGGCCTGGCAAATAAATAATTTAGACAGAATGTTCAACAAGGCCAAGTGGGCTGAACCTTTGAACGCAGGCATTATTCTCATTTGATCTAAAATTAAGAATGAGATTATAGAAACTACAACAAATATGCAAAATGTTGCCTGAAAATATTGGCATGAAAAATGATGGTGCTCAACGGGTTAACAAGATTTAGGCCATGTTGACTGTTTAGCAACATTTTGGGATAATAGAACAATTTGTAAAAACTTTTAGAACAATGTTGTATTACAAATACTTACAGCTAAATGTCCTTGTCTTAACGCCTCTGCTTTAAACTCTTCAACACTACCCAGAATGCTATGGGGTATGATGTTACCAAAGGCATCAAATCTTGGACCTGCACTACCTGTAGAAAGGTATCACATAAAGATAAAAAAAAAACACAAGAAAACTCAGATTAGTGAACTTTAATTTTAAAGAATATGAAAACGTTAATAATAATGAAATTAAGTTTATTTACAGACATCCAACCTATTAAATAAAAGCAAAAAACCTACATAATTGTTGTTTTAAACTTTTGGTTATTTTTACCTAGCACAACAAATTTTGTCATAAAAATTTCAGAATTTCCAAAACCAAACAACCAAAATTATCCATATTTTGAAAACATAAGATTTTTTCATAAAATATCCCTAATCAAAACTTTGAGATATGAAGAAAACCTTTTACGATAGGAACTACCGGGTAAAGGTAAATGACTTGAAAATTTTTATTTCCCTTGGTGTTTGACATATTTTTTGTGCATAGAGTAGTTTGATGACCATATTTTTTTGTCAGGAGTATCAACATACATAAAGCCATATGGTGAAAGCCAAGCAAATTTGGCGATTAGTTTTAATGACAGATGTGAAATAAATACAACAATAATATTATACATGTACAATGTATGTGATTATATCACAGTGTTATTTCTAATAAAATACTACAGGTTTAACTAAAATTACCTGTATAGTCGACTGGTTTCAATGGTGCATCAGGTGGAGCTGGTTTAGCTATAGTAATTCGTTTAGTTTTGGTTTCTCAATCTCAGATTTAGGTTTATGTTTTCTGACCATTACTGGTTTAGTAGGTGTTCTTCTTCTCTCAGCAGAGGGTGGCTTTGGAATATGGACCTGGAAAAATCATGAAAGAATAATTCTGAATTAAGATATCGCTCTTTTCTGGGACTATAAACATATTGAGAAATGAGATCACATGTAAAAATTTGCTAAAACATTCATGTTTCTATTTTTTTTACTCCTAGGATATTGAGCGAGTAATAATGTTATTTGTAGTGAAGATTAGTATTTCATGAATTGTAGATCTATATTTTAATATTCTTAGAAGCAAAGCTACATCATAGAACACTCTATGTTGTTAAGATGTACATCACTATACCATGTATTTCTATGAACACGGATCGAAGAGCCGGTGAAAACAGGTGTAGTTAAGAAAACAGCATAATCTCAACTATGAGACAATCCTGCTACAATGTTCAGGAGTCTCAACATCTAGCCCAAAGTACAGTGATTTGAGAGTTTTCGATTGTTGTTTTCATCAACTGTGATTGCTAGGCAGTGAAAATATCCAGATGTTCACTCACGAGAATACCAGCTTCAGTTACACAGGTTGATTTTTTCATTGTATGTGCATGCAGTTTACTCAGTTTCTGGGCATCACTTGGCAGGGAAGATTTAGAACAGCAACAGATAAGCCCTTGTATAATGAAGTTGCAGCCAACACAAATCAAGTGACTTTCAACTTTAAAGTAACTTAACCTTAAAGTAAATTTACCAGCCAGTTTCCCTAATCAATAAATGTGCTATTTAGTTATGATTGAAGAAAAAAACACTGAACATCAAATTACTAGATATACATTTGACAACCACCAAATATGCCTGCTAAATAGCAAAACTTCCTTTTTGTCTGTATAGGATTTCAGAAGGCGATTAAATAAAGCAGTTCAAATGGGGGTGAACTCATAATGTTCAAAGTCACATCTCAAATTGTCTAGTGAACACACAAAGTGGATCAAAACCATGATGAATGAACTGAATGGGTTGTGATGGACAAGACTATTGTTATGATTCAACTTACTGTCAACTGTGAATACAATAGTTTGTACAAATCACTATTGACTAAACCATACATAAAAAAAAAAAAAAAAAAAACTGATCTTTTACATTGAGGAAACACAATAAGTTTGTTATTGGCATTGACATGCTTGGTTTTTCTTATATTCCGTTGTATCAGTCTGTTCCTGCTTACCTCTCTCAGTTTATCTGGGTCAATGGCCAATGCTTGTATATCCTCTCCATTTATGATTTGTTTCGATGGAGGTAGATCATCTTCCATCTGAGACTGTGACAGATTGGGACTGGTAGCTTTCTCTGGTGTTCCATCCTTCTTCTTGGCACCTTTCAACTTGTCTGAAATCAAATAGTAATAAAATAAATACAGTGTGGGTTCTCATTGACGTACAGGTGTACTACTGAGTCAGCCATCAAAGCTTGGTACAGAAAGCGCTAGCTTGCAAGAAGTTAAGAATTTCACAAAAATTACCCTTATACACTTGGTGTTTCAGCTTCAGAATGCTACTAGCCTTCATAGTGTGGATAAAAAGAAACGTATATATGATATACGGTATCTTCAGTAACGGAAAGCAAGACACTGCTTATGACACTACTTGTCACTATGGATGATAAAGGAGTGTACCATTTCTACAAAGGGTAGTGTTATATACAAATATGACTATTGTCACAACACAAAAGAATGACCTACGTGAAACACATACGAATGCATCTATTGCATAGGGTTGTCACAACAGTGGCTTCAATTGCTAAGCAAATATAAAAGATGTGTACACCTTTTACCATAAGGGGAGTGGCAGTCATTTATAATCTGGTATAGAAAGGTGTATTTTTTAGAAAATTTAGTTTATATAAACTTCTCTGTATGTATGCCAGGCAGAGGTCTATACTTGGATTAGTTTTATCATACTATTTTTTTTTCTGCGCTGACAAGCAAAGGTAAGAATATGCATATTAACATGTATCCTTTTGATGAGAATTATGAGTTTCAATGATGTTGAATCAATTGACTTGCTTTATCCACAGGTATGAAAGAAAATAGTATGTAATCATACACTATAAAAAGCAAAGAGTAAACTACACATACTGTAACTAAGTTGATATGGAAAACAACAAACAATGTGTATATACGTTAATCATTAATAATTCAGTTCCATATTACGTACATATCTATATCCTAAACACAATTTAAGACCACAGTTTGGTGTGTAGTTGTATACCCGGTACTATAATTTCCAGGGTTTGAAATCTCCAAATGTCATTGTACAGATGCCCCCAATTGAATTAAACATTTTCCTTCACAGTTTCAAATAGCTTAAAACATTTTTCATAAATTTTGGTATTAACATTAGGTGACCTTGGCTCTATTTTCATTTAATTTTTTTGCACTGCATCTGGTATAGAATGGAAAACAAGTCATCTACTGATTGATCTGGTGTGTGATTGTTTGAAAAGTGTTTGTATTCTAACAGTGCATTTACCGTTTGTATACTATAATGAATAGAACTGTAAGTGGGTTAACTCCCTTCTTTCTTAACACAATGATTATTTCAAATAACCCATACACACACCTAAAGTGCCTTTAGTAGCACAAAACGGTTTTTAATCATTTTGTCTTTTTTTGTTACGCCAGTGAGTTGCCTCATAGCATTGTTAGCTAATGCTATGTAATGCCTGCAAAAAACGAACGTTATTTATTATTATTATAAAAAACATTTGGAGAGCTTGCAAACATTTTTCTTATTAAACACACCCCTAGAAGTAGAGTTAGTACAGTGAAACCAGGGTATTTGTATAAGATGGAGGTGATCCTTAACGAATATGAAATGTAATATATGGTGCCCACATGAAAGGAGGCTTCAGCTCCATGTGTTTAATGTGTACCATATGTTTATATGAGGTAGACAATACACTAGTACTGTAGACTGAGTTGCACTTTTGGGCTGGTATTTCTTACAAAGTTATACATGTATTTAATAAGGCTGCCATATGTATGTTCTCACGCAGTACAGGGTTGCATCGACCAATAAAATAACCTCAGAGTAGTTTTTAAATATATATAAACACTGGATTACAATGTATCAAAAATAACTGAATTGAACATTGAATTAAAACCCATGTTTAATGATGCTTACAGTTTCCTGATTTTAAGAAAATTCTTGATATTAAATTCAGTTTTGTTCAATTGTCATTTAAATCTTGTGAAATCAGTATTTAACATTGGAAAAAAAGCGTATATAAAAAAGAAAAATATGTATATGTACTAGAAAATTATTAATGAAAGTTTAATTATATACATACTAGCTGATGATATTAATCGAACTGCTGAACCAAATCTTGCCCTGGATTTTCGTGATCCTCTGGAAGTACCAGCACTAGATGAACCAGATGCCTGTGACACTGGTCGGCGCGTTGGTGACTTAGATTTAGACATTTTGCTAATAACAGGAATTCCATGTACAGTATAGTCACTATGTCAGTGTGTTCAGTCCAGTTGGCTGCGTAGAGTAATTGAGTCAAGCAAACTCAGTATCACTAAAAGTATTAACTACTAACTCCACAACAGTTGGTTATAGATGGACAAGTAAAATGTTCGATGTTAACAGGTGGTTTATACATGAAAAACTAAATTGGATACTGACCAACCTGATACTCTGTCAGTTCAACTAATTATTAACAGTTGATAAATAAACAACAATAAGAAACTGATTTAAAAAGAATATGTTCGTGAAGTAACAATACAGATTTGACATTTAAGTTTTTTGAACAAAGCCAATGCTGCTTTCCTAGGTGAGGTTGTCCAATGTGGATAACATTTTTTCTTGAGAGTATAATTACAAAATATAATCTAATTAAGCATTCACTTCACAATAATTAAATAATTATTAAATATTAACGATAACTGTAATGTAATTTTGGTCCTGAAATAAGCAGTATATATATGCAGATAATTCTGAGTGTTCTGGGTTGCCAAGAGTCAGTGATGTCGGTATGTCAAGTCAGCGTTCACAGGTCTAGGTGTACGTCTAATAAACCCACTCGACAATGAAGTACCATATATACCATATTGTACGAGTGACTTCAATGTACAAGTGTTGACTGGGTATCGACGAATGCAAAGCAAATCATATCAATGATGAAATTAACCACAAGGACACAGTTTCTGATTCAGATTCTTCAGTATTATGCAGGGTGATAAGGTTATTATCCGAGAATATCTTGTCCAAGAGCGCGATGACCAGTTTGTAATCCAGCTAAGTCTCCTTAGGTACTTCCTATAGACTGTCCATTACATTCAGATTGGATATAAAAAACACATCAAAGTTTTAGGGTGTATCATTTAAAAAACAAGGGGTGTGCATCACTCCTGCTTTGGGATACCAATTCTTTGAAATAATATTACACAAATTTGACACCAGTATAGCACTCAGAAAGAAGTCAAAATACTTATGAAAAAAGTTTTCAATAAAAATCAATGATTTTTCTATGAATCATGAAATCAATCACAACATCTATGAACCGATCATCACCCCCTATAACATAATAGTTTATTCCACTGAGTGCTTGGTTCATCCTTGTTGCCAGGACAAATATTCACACTAGTCGGTGCACAAATATTGACAAAGCTCAGTCGTGTAAATAACTGCAAATAATTAGCCATTGCCATTTATTTATGATGCCTATCTAGAGTTGAGTTTTAAAAATCACACACTACCTAATTACACACTTTATGAACACAGACAAAAGAATAATAAACTTAGAAGTATCAGATGATAAGCTAATAGAATCTGCAATAGGTATGAATTCTGTTACATAGTCAGGGCTGTAACTTGTCCAGGTTGACAAGTGACATGCGTTACACACCGGCTGAACAGATGATTGCTACTCTATTGTTGAGAGGTGTACAATAATTAAATATTTCTGTGACTATCAATTTCAGGGGTGATTGGCTATGTGAAGGTAACTATGTGGTTATATACAATATAGTATTGTATATGTACAAAAACCTGTTAACTTAGTAACACAATGGTCAACACAATGCTAGTTCTTTTATTCTAATGAGTTCATAGGCAGTTTTAGTATACCAAAGTTACCACAAAAAATACCATATTAAGTGCTAAAAAAAAGCAGGGACCTTTTAAAACTTTTGGCTTTATTGGTTTTCAATTAGTACTTGTGTGACTTTTTTGGATAAGATTTAAAAATTCACCTTTTTTACATACCTTTAAATACCTTTATTCGATTTTGTAGTGTTTTGAGGGCACTAACTTCAAAGCCCAAATAACATCTTAGACTGATTGAAATCATGTTTGACTATTTTGATAAATTCAGGTGAGACATCTAGTCAATCATCTCCATGGTCTTTGTAAAGTTTGACACAACATGAATTCACCAATTTAATATTTTCTCCATACCTTTTTGACTCTTTCAATTGTGGTTATTTGAGTATGAATGTGTGTCAATCTATTTATTTTACAAAATACACACCCACTTATTAAATATAAATAGTTCATGAGTCCGTATTAGGTCAATGATGAAAACCTGATATTGACGCTGCTTCAGGTAGGTACAGATTGATGAGATGCACACCTCCAGTATTTACATTAAGTCATAGAGTTGAGTTGGAATTGACATGGGTGACTGGGTCTCCCTAGGTGATGCCATGTACCATTGAATGCTAGTCACCAGTCAAGGTAATACTTTCAAGTGAAGTCTTGGAGATGTGATAGAGTCAATATAATCAGGGACTACAAAATCACAAAAATATCCAGTAAACTCCACAGCAACCAGAGTCAAGGTGAATAATGTTACCAGGGTGAGGAATACGAGCTATTGTGGTGAAAACAACCACCGATATTTGATTGTGAAATGTATTGTTTTTTTTTATCATTTTTAATCTATTATACACACATGCTGCATTGTATTTATTCAAATTTCAAACTAAATTAGTTAACTTTTAAAGTGCACAACTCTGACAGAGTTATAACAGTTACTTTGGTAAACCCAAGTCATAAGTGAATGCAAGCCGTTCACGAAATGCTGGAAAACTTTTCAACAGGTACTTGAATGTTTTTAATATTACTTTTGAAATCTATCTGAATGTTTTCATCACAATCATGTGTGAAAAGATCAGTTACTTCTAAAAAGTGACCCATGAAATCAGATTAAATGTTCTGAGGAACATGAATGTAAACAATTATGATACAAGTTTAATAAATCTGATATCATGGGTCCCAAAGTTTGATATTCTATTCATTACATGTATCTGTTTTGAAACTATTTCCTTAACAGAAACTAAATCACATTTGTAGTTTGCATGCATGTCTTAAGCTTATTAC